GAAAACAATCCTTAGATGAAGAGATAACATGGTTCAGGAGAGCGCCAGATGAAAGATTCACAATCTACATTCATTTACTTCAAAAGAACAGTTCCTAGACACCTGCTTCCTCTGGTGAAAGGAGATGTCCCTCTCTAGTATCTCTGCTACTTGCGGCTTTGTGGTTTTTCTGAGTTTCAAGACACCTGTGGTTCTGTGGTTTTCCTCAGTTCCCACCACCATGGAACAAGAGCACCACCAGCAGCAAGTCATTGGCATAACTTACAAAGCAGAAGGTTTTTTCTTCTTTTGCTGGTTCTTTAGGAGTCCTGGCTGCATTGCCATCACAGTGCATCACTGGTACAGCAATTAATGGTTGCAACATTAAACTGCACTTTGTTCTCCACTTTGGGGCTAATTATTTGCTGATTGAAGTTGAAGCCATAGCATCTTTTAAAGTGTTGAGTTGCCCTTGGCTTGTGGGTGAAGAAGAGCCACTGCTTTCTTCCATTGAGAATACTAGGCATGGAGGTTCCTTACTGGAGCAAAGGATTAAAGCTGTCCTCCTCCCACACCATAGTCCAGCTCTTACTCCTCTCAGGCTGGCCATTTATTTATTTAAACATCAACTATTCAAGGCCAACCATGGGAAATCTGTTATGTATGTCTGGAATAGCCCCAAGGTACAATTTCATCACAGAGTGGATCCTGGGATGTTCTCACTGGTAGTAATTTGCCAGCAGTCTTTTCTGTCACTTGCTATCTGTCCCTTTTAATGAGTTGAACCTGGAATTTCCTGCATGCAAAACACATTCTCTGTCTCTGGAACACCCCCTGTTATCACTCATGGAAGCTACAGGTTCCATCAAGATCTCAGCTCAAGATGAGTGGCTTCAAAGTCCACAGTGTTAATCACAGGGCTCACCACCACAGGAAGTATTTCAGGGATGAACTCAGGAATAGAGGAATTTGCCTTCTACCAAATCAGACTTTTTGGTTATTTAAGCCAGGATTGAATTCCTCTGGCTGTCAGCCACTTTCCGGGATGGCAGACAGAAGGTCTCCCCCATCTCCTGCTTCCTAATCCTTTTAATTTTGGGACAGTAGGAACTGGGGCCTCCTGCAAGCAGGACCAGAATGCAATAAAACTCTCCTTTTTTTTATTCAGCTCATTTTCAGAGAAATGCCACTTCTGATATTAGAGTGCAAATAAATTGTATATCAAATGAGCCTCAGACAGCACCTCCTTCTTCATAAATGGACAGGGGGAATCTCATTTTTATGAGCTGTTCTTTGCAATTTATTGGAAGAACTGCAATTCTGCTATTAAATTGTGTTCTCTCTCTCTCTCAGCTAGAAGGATGAATAAACTCAACAATGTCTAGAAATATGGCAACACTATGTGAAGCATAGGTAAAGGTAAAGGGACCCCTGACCATTAGGTCCAGTCACGGACAACTCTGGGGTTGCGCGCTCATCTCGCTTTATTGGCCGAGGGGGCCAGCGTACAGCTTCCGGGTCATGTGGCGAACCAGAGCAGCACACGGAAATGCCGTTTACCTTCCTGCCAGAGCGGTACCTATTTATCTACTTGCACTTTGATGTGCTTTCGAGCAGCAGCAGGAACCGAGCAATGGGAGCTCAGCCCATCGCAGGGAATCGAACCTCTGACCTTCTGATTGGCAAGCCCTAGGCTCTGTGGTTTAGACCACAGCACCACCCGCGTCCCAAGTATGTGAAGCATACTTGCTATTTATTCTGCTGTTAGCTCCTCCGACCCTTCTCCTGTGTTTAACAGCTAAGAAGACACTCAAATAAAAACTCAACAGCATCTTTTTTCTCTGAAGCCTCACCCAGAGTGCCTCTCACTGAAGGAAAAGTTGCAGCAGTGCCACTTGACTGTGTTCACAGAGTAATGAGATCAGATGAAAGTTATACTTAGGAACAGGGCCACAAATTTCCTAATGCTAAATGGACTTCGTATACAGCATCTTTCTTTGCACCCGTGAAATGAGACATTCTAAGGCTTTTTTTGAGGTTATTTTCCCATTGTTTGCTTTTCAGAACAGAGCACTCTTCTGTCATTAATGAATCTGAAGGGAGAGGAAATGAATAGGCAGGAAAAAAACCAGGGCTATTTCAAGCATATGCAACACTGAAGCCTGGTTCTCAGTTGGGGTGGTTTTTGTACAGCCGCGGAGTTGGGTTGTCTCACTGTGTCTCTTGCACAATAGTACATGGCAGAGTCTTCAGGCTTTAGGGCCCTCAGTTGCAGGGACACCTGGCTTTTTGAGATGTCCCTTGTGATGGTGATCCGGTTTTGGAGAGCAGAGTTATAGTTATTGCTTCCATCATACCTCATTCGTCCAGTCCACTCCAGCCCTTTTCCAGGAGGCTGACGGACCCAGTGCACACCATTGCTTGTTAGAGAAAATCCAGACACTGTGCAGGTCAGCTGCAGAGTCTCTCCAGGTCTTTTCAGCCCATTGCCGGACTGTGTGAGGGTAATCTGTGAGGAACTGTCTGCATTTATCAGAAAAGAATTGAAGAAGACAAAAATAAATAAGAAACACGATGATATTACACACAAATAACCCCTTCTTAAGAGGAAATGGGAAACTATCTTACATGCAGGAAATATCATTAGGAAACCAATCAAAAGATTCCTCTCCATGACTTGGATGGTTGCAGGACCAGACGAAGATCTGGATGCTGCCGAAGACCTTGAATTTGGTATCTTTGACCTGCACGCCCCCTTTAAAGAAGGCCGTACCAGAAACCCATTTGCATGTTGTCCTGGGTGCCTCTCATAAAAGAGAACTGAAGGCTGAAAGAAGATGCAATAATGGAGTGGCTAAGAATGAATGTCAGAATCCCACCTTTCCTACCTGTGTTTGCCCATCATGTTTCCTGGAAACAGGCGTATGACTTGATGCCATCTTGCCCAGAGTTTCTCTGGCTTTGGGAGTGAACAGAAATTACAATGCAATACTTAAGGCACTCTAACTTTAATTGAGAAATGCAGTTATTTATAGTAGCATTGGTCCAGTCTAGTGTGGGGAACATTTATTAAGGTCAAGGGCAGCATTCCATTCGGACAAGTGGCAGTGTTGTTGGGCAGGTTCAGCAGCAAACGTTTGTGAAACAGTCATTGCAAATCCCCTCCCCCAAATATTGGTTTCCTGTCGTTGTGTATGTGAAAGTGATTACTACCTTCTGTCCTGAAGCCATTTCAGTTCACTCTAAATAATGTCCTTTTGCAGATGGTTCTCTAGCTGCACTGGTGGGTCAAAGGGGAAAACAGCCTCCATAGCAGATAAGTAGACAATCTACTTCGAGATGGATTCATCTGTCAATTTCAGTTTACCCCAGTTGCACCTTTTACCATTCAGTTCACCATATTTCTACATCAGTTAAAACTTCACATTAAAATTCACCTGCACTTTCATAAAATGTTGAAATTATTTAATATTACATAAAATGGTTTATAATTGTGTGTGAACTGTATTTTTAGGTTACTGTGAAAAATGTATGAACACGTGATGAAGGCTTGTATTTTCCCTTTTCAAATGTTCGGGGAAGGTGCTAGCTTTTGTGACTGAGCAATGGGTCTTTAGATAAAATATTGGAATGTTTACTTATATTTAGGAAGTAGCCCACACCATGGATTCCTAATCCCAGAAAATGGCTCTTACCTATATTTTAGCACTCTGCTAATTGGGAAAGGAGTACGGCAAGGCTGTATATTGTCTCCCTGCTTATTTAACTAATATGCAGAATTCATCATGCAAAAGGCTGGGCTGGATGAATCCCAGCTGGAATTAAGATTGCCAGAAGAAATATCAACAACCTCAGATATGCAGATGACACAATCTTGATGGTAGAAAGCGATGAGGAATTAAAGAACCTTTTAATGAGGGTGAAAGAGGAGAGCGCAAAATATGGTCTGAAGCTCAACATCAAAAAAACAAAGATCATGGCCACTGGTCCCATCACATCCTGGCAAATAGAAGGGGAAGAAATGGAGGCAGTGAGAGATTTTACTTTCTTGGGCTCCATGATCACTGCAGATGGTGACAGCAGTCCAGCAGTCACGAAATTAAAAGACACCTGCTTCTTGGGAGAAAAGCAATGACAAACCTAGACAGCATCTTAAAAAGCAGAGACATCACCTTGCCAACAAAGGCCCGTATAGCTATGGTTTTCCCTGTAGTGATGTATGGAAGTGAGAGCTGGACCATAAAGAAGGCTGATCGCCGAATAATTGATGCTTTTGAATTATGGTGCTGGAGGAGACTCTTGAGAGTCCCATGGACTGCAAGAAGATCAAACATATCCATTCTTAAGGAAATCAGCCCAGAGTGCTCACTGGAAGGACAGATTGTGAAGCTGAGACTCCAATACTTTGGCCACCTCATGAGAAGAGAAGACTCCCTGGGAAAGACCCTGATGTTGGGAAAGATGGAGGGCACAAGGATAAGGGGACGACAGAGATGGTTGGACAGTGTTCTCGAAGCTTCCAGCATGAGTTTGACCAAACTGCGGGAGGCAGTGGAAGACAGGAGTGCCTGGCGTGCTCTGGTCCATGGGGTCACAAAGAGTCGGACACGACTAAACGACTAAACAACAAAATCCAAGCATTTATTAAATTTAAGAACTGTGGGGGATATGCCCCCCCAAAACTTATAACAACATAAATATTTTCACAGAGAGACAGTGATTAATTGATGATCATTCCTATGCTTCTTTTCCCTAGATCTGCTTCACTTTATTGGAAACCTCATATGACCTAAGAACTTCATATATTTCCACATTTAGAGGAGAAATCCTAGACACCTGCTTCCTTTGGGAAATGAAACTTCCTTCTTCACAAACTCTTCACATTGTGGTTTCATCTCATTGCTGCGATTTTCTTAATACTTGTGTTGTCGAACGTGTATGCCCCCTACAGGATTTCTCTTTCCTGAGTAACATAATGGAATGATTTTTGCCAGACCCAAGACTAGCTTTTCATCACTGTGAGCCTCTGGCGCAGTAATACGTGGCTGTGTCTTCTTGCTTCAGATTGTTCATGTGCAGATATAAGTTGGAGCTATCCTTGGAGGCAGTGAACCGCCCTTGAATGGTTGGGGAGTAATAATTGGTACCAGTTGAAGAGTAATAGTATATCAGCCATTCCAGCCCTTTCCCTGGAGACTGACGGAGCCAGTGCGTGTGAGCGCTGCTAAGAACAAATCCAGCTGTGGAACAGGTGAGTCTCACAGATTCTCCAGGCTTTTTCAATTCTGGGCCTGACTGAGTGAGAACAATCTCTGAACTGGCCCCTGAAAAAAGAGGAGGCACACCAAGTGGATTTATAAATAAATATAGAGCAGGTGTTTCCATGCAGGGCACTTAGCTAGACTGGTTTCTTCAAAAACAGCTTTTGAAGAATTACTTACAAGCAATCCCAGTTATGAAGAGGAGGGAATTCAATAGCCAGAACATTGTGAACAGAGAGATGAGGAACCCCACTGATGGTTGAAGCAGGCTCAAGGAGATCTTTCCTTTCCCTGAGGAGGAGTAAAGTTAGCCATTTAAAAGCAAATGAGAGTGTTTGATTTTTGCATATGCTGGGCAGGGCTGGGCAGAACTTAGACAAAAAAGGGAGACTCTCATCAGTTCAGGGAGTGGAGTGAAGCAATAAAAGCTAAGGAGCCCAAAGAGGGAATTCCAAATGGTCTTCAACCATCAGTTTGGTTTAAACATGACGTTTAAGTTACTGGAAAATTTCCTGGGGAAGTTTATGTGAAATGAATGGAGCCCTTGTTTATTTTAATCAACTCTTTGTGTCTCTGTCTCTGTGTGGGAATTGTGTCTATTGCATCCTGATTCACCCCATCCATTCTGTTCTACTGTGTGTATTTAGGACACATTTTGTGCACACTCCATCCCCAATAAAGCATGCACTTCTCAGTGCTCTTAAATGCATTAAAGTGTAAAATGTGTGGTTTCTCCCCTACCAGAGATCCTGCCCCTCCCCATAGATCACCTACACCTACGACAGTGGAATTTGCTGCCAAGGAGTGTGGTGGAGTCTCCTTCTTTGGAGGTCTTTAAGCAGAGGCTTGACAACCATATGTCAGGAGTGCTCTGATGGTGTTTCCTGCTTGGCAGGGGGTTGGACTCGATGGCCCTTGTGGTCTCTTCCAACTCTATGATTCTATGATTCTATGATTCTATGATTCTATGATACACCTGACGACGCAGGAGCGCTATTCCACTTCTGCATCCCAGCAACTAGTATTTAGAGCAATACTGTTTCTGATACTGGAGAGACACCATAGGTAGCATAGATTGTTAACATGAATTCATCTAATGTTCCTTGAAAACCACCAAAATTGTGCTCACCCTGATGTCATAACTCTGCCAAAGTGTATTGGACTGTAGCTGAAGAAAACCACTGAATTCTCAGACATAAATGTTGGCAGAGTAACCGGCTATGTGTTTACAACAAGGGACACATATGAAGTGTATAGGAGCAAGGGATGTGCTTGGCTGGATGGCCGATAGCAAGATTCCCAATTGTTTGTTCACATAGAGATTTTCATGACTGATGACTAGTGATTTGGAAGGGAATTTTCTGCCTCCCAGCCCATAAGTACAATATCTTGCTGCTCCTCTTTCAGAGAAGAGTAGGAGGCTCCACGTGTTCTCTGTCCTCCCAATGTTTTGCCAGGCCACTCAGTCATGTAGTAAAGTGGCACTGTCTCCATCACCAAGGAGACTAGATCACCAGCAACCACCCCTATGAACCAACATTATGATTTTCCCCATTGCATAATGCCAAGTGTTGACTTCTGTCTAGATTACCACAGCATCCTATAGGACCACCCACTTCTAACATATAGCTATTGAATATTTTATTTTATTTTATGAAGAAATCAGTAGTTAAATTTATTATATATCTGGCTTCTGCAGTAAAATGTTGTTGTTGATGATAATGATGATGATGATGATGGCATAAATTTCTTCCAAGGTTGCATGCAGGCTTTTTTCTTACACTTTTTTATCCTCAAAACAACCCTATGTGGCAGTTTAGGCTGAGACTGACTCAAGGTCACCCAGTGAAAAATCTTAACACCCACAATACACTGAATGTGTTGTTTGAGTCAACAACATCTGCTCTGAAACATCCTCAGAAATTTACAAGATCTGTGGCAAATATATGATTTGCTTGATCACCCAAAAGGAATTCCAAACAGCTTTTACAACCCTTAGAAGCCACCACATTCTTTCTCTTTATACTCCAAATGGGTTTTTGTGTTAACTCAGATTCACTTTCCACCACTGTGTTCTCTAGCACAATAATACATGCCGGTATCTTCAGCTTTCAGACCAGTCATATGTAGATAGATCAGCTTCTTGGAACTGTCCGTGGAGATTGTGAATCGTCCTTTAGCAGAGTCTGCATAATAAGTGGTGCCCTTATTAATTTGTGAAAGCCATTTGAGTCCCTTTCCAGGAGCTTGATGGATCCAGTGTATCCAGTAGCTGTCTATGTTGAATCCTGATGTTGTACATGTGAGTCGAAGGGACTCTCCAGGTCTTTTCACATCCCCACCAGATTCCACCAGAGAATCTGCATGGACACCTGGAAAGAGAGATAGAGATTGAGTTGCAAATTTTACATATGTGGATTATAAAGACTTCCTGATAAATCACACCAACTGCATTCCAAACAAAGGGATTAAATACCTTTGAAAATGAAGAAGCTAAATATGAAATGTATCCACAAAATCATTTCTACTGGATTGTTTGGATGGAAGGCTGGTGTCTGTCTAACAGTATGAGGATATTTCCACAAGCTCAGCTGGAACCCACAGCAAGAGAACAGCTCATGTTTAAAGCGTGGACTGTTACATTATTTGCATATCCTCCTCTATATATAATATTTCCCAGAGGAGCTTTTTCAGTTGAAATGCTTCTCGGTCCTTAATGCTTTTGTTGCCATTTGCCTCCATAAACATTGCCTTTGTGATTTTCTAAGCAGAACTTTTGGTCTGACATATTTTGCCGCAACATTAAGGACATATTTTGTATATATTTTATTCTATACTATCAATATTATAGGAACTCTCCTCTGAATTTTTTTTATGCCCGCCAATGCAAACAACAGAACTCCTGAATTATAATAGAATATCAACTTTAAAATGCCAATGAATCATGCAATAAAATCGTAGGGAAACAAAAGACAGGAGGTAGAAATAGATGATGAAAACAGTGATAATAGTATTAACATTTCTAAATGGAAATATAAGAGACTACCAAAATATGGAGTCACATGTACATAAGTAGTTTATAATGTGATCTTTTGCAATGAAAAGTTATTTTGGTTTATATTTGCATATTCTTAAAGGTTGGCAAGCCAGTGGCGGATCTTGGCCTCTCAGATTTCAGTGGTACCCTGTGTTACTCCAAAATCCTGTAGCCCCCGCCTCTCACCTTCCATTTGACATCATTGCTGTGGCACCTGCTGTGGAGTCCCAGAAGCTCTGCAGCCTTTGTGGCCAAACCTGACGTGCTCCCCTAGATCTCTCTTTGTGTTTGTCCCTTGGCTAAAACTGGAGATGTTCCATCTTTAAAAGTTCAAAGAAGCTAATGCCTTACAGACTTATTATGTTGTTCCCCTCAACACTGTACAGTTTTATGATACCTTGTAATTACAATAGGTTTTAATGTATATTTTATTGTTGCAAGGAGAACTGATAAGTATTATACATTGGCAGGAATTGTATTTTTTGGTGTTGTTTTCTTCCCAGCTATTGCACAAATGTGAGCTTTGATGTCTCATCTACACACTAGCATCAGGAACAGTTGCTGTGGATTGTAGCATTATGATCCTAACACTATGGGAATTTATTCTGAAAATAAATAGCAAATAAAATTATTATTTATTCTTTAGTACAAAATGTACTTAACCGCCCTGAGACCTGTGGGTATAGGGCAGTATATAAATTCAGTTAATAATGATAATAATAATAATTTGCATTCCCACAAGAACTTGTCTAGCAGGGAAATAAAACCAGGCTAACTTATTTGATGCCAATAGCTTTGGGAACTAGGATAAGTAGTTTCTGCTACCTTTGTGGATAGATCGGGAACTAATGTAGAGAGACTTGATATGTATTTATTTGCTTGTGGTTTATTCAGCACAATCATTTGAACTGAAAGCTCTTCAGTGCCACCTGCAGTCTTTTAATTTAACACACAAAGGTTTTTGTCTGAGCTGGAATTCAACTTCCACCACTGTGTCTCTGGCACAGTAATAGACGGCAGTGTCTTCTGGCTTCAGGCTGTTCATTTGAAGATAAAGGTTGGTGCTGTCCTTGGAGGCAGTGAAACGCCCTTGGATGGTTGGGGAGTAGTAGTTGCTGGATGGGTTGTAATAGTGAACCAGCCATTCCAGCCCTTTTCCCGGAGACTGCCGGACCCAGTTCATCCAATAGCTGCTAAGATCAAAACCTTTTGTGGCACAGGTTAACCTCACAGATTCTCCAGGCTTTTTCATTTCTGGGCCTGACTGAGTGAGGACAATCTGTGAACTGGCCCCTGCAGAGAGAAGAGACACGCTGCTTAACTGTGTGCAGTTTAAAGCAAACACACAAAAACAGGTATCACATCAGATTGAAACAGTGATCAAAAGTGGAAATAACTCCCCACACCACTAGTACATATAATTAAGATACAAAAGATTTGACTTACATGGCAACGTGCTTATAATCATGATGAAATGTAACAGCCACAACATTTTAAAAATTATAATGGGAGAGTTGAGGACCTAAATAAATTACTGAAGCAGATCCACGGAGCCTTGATTCCGTCTGAGGGATCTGGTGTTTACCTTTAAAGATGAAATGAAAGCTTTTTGTTTTGCATATTTTGGGCGGGCCTGGAAACATCTGATATAAAAGAGATGAGCCGTACTGGTCCTCAACTTCAGTATTTTATGGTTCAGTTGAAATTTCCCCTGCTGGACCTAGGATAGAACCTGTCTCCAAATCCTGGCTTGTTCATTTTGTGAATTTGCTGCAGATGGTTTATTTTCCCCTCCATTTTCATCATCACCTCAATGCATGAGTCCTCTAAGTTGGTTTACAAAGCACACCATAAATAGACACAAAGGAAGCAAATCATTATTGCGTGTTGAGTCCCACAATGCCACCCCCCAAAAAATTCACACTTCACACATCAATTTTTGTTTAAGGTTTTTGGCATAATTTTGGCCACAACTTTATTCAAAATACAAAAAATGTGAGTGGTTGCTTAGGCATTGGTTATGACTATCTGTCCTTGCCCTCAGGGACAGAGCTGGCCTTCCGGACACCAACGGAAGCCAGCGTGGGAACAAGTATTGGGTGAGAAAATGAAGCTGGGTATCAGTCCCCACTTCTCACCCTCATGTTCCTGTGGGGCTTGCACGGCCCAAGTCCGATTCCAGGGACAAGGACGAAAAGAATGGCAAGCCCCTGGATTCCTTTAACGGAATTCCCTTTCCGCATCATTTGGAGG